GTTTCATGGCTGTCATGTCAGTTTCAACATCCAAGAAGAAGTCAGGCATTAGGGGGTGACCTAAAAGGGAGGAAAAATGTAATAGTAAGTGCAGGTAACGTTGGACAGCACAAAGAATATGTTTCTTATGAAACTACAGCTGAGTTTCTAAGTAAATAAATTACAATTTGAAGGAAAAACAGAGCATGAAATAACTTGTTTAGAGTTTGGTTCATGTAAAATCTCTTAAAGTTGCAATGACGAACATATGAAGAAGGAAAAATAAAATCTATCTCACTAGCTGATAAATAGTAATATATGCATCTACAATGCAGGTACACCTTCTTTTCATTAAAGTATTTTTTAAATTTAATAGGCACTTGATGATTAGAATCTCAGTGGACTTGTGATACGTGCATTCCAGCAAGGCGTGTTCTGAAAGCTGAGGCAAAGCAACTTTTCACAGACTAATTTAAGTGTCTCTAGAAACAGAACTATATTAATATTCTCCATATGGCCTTCCCTCCCTCCTGAACTTACTTCTCATCTTAAAGATGTTTTACCTGGTGCTATTGCATAGACATCAAAATCCTTAATTCCTTCTTCTCTCAGCAGAACTTCATCAATAATGAAGTTTCCAGTGAAGCTTTTTGGTTTTGTTAAAATGCAATATGCAGCATCTGCAAGGATGTCCGTTTTCCTGCACTGTTTTTCTATTCCAGATCCTCCGAGCATATCCATAGCAGCTGTATGTATGGCTATAAAGTTTGAGGGGTAAGAAAACAAAGCTTTTAACACAGACAACATGAAATTCACATTTCTCTGGCAAGTACACAAACTTTGTTTTTTCTTTTATACAAAAAGAAATTGTAGGAAGAGAAAGCTATGAAATACTACTAACCAACAAATAATTCTCTACAAGCACCAGTAAAAAAGCAAACTATTAAAGTAACCAAATATTGGAATAATGGGCAGAACTTTTTATGACATTCACATCCCTCCATCAGTGCCCCTTCTTCCCCCCTCCCCCCCCAGTTTCCTCCAGGTTATTTAGGAGATAAAAAACTAACAAGACAACTGTTTTTCTCAAAGTGAATGTATGATACATCAGTCATCAAGACGTATTTCCTTTGGTGATTATCACACTGAAAATCTTGATGCTTAATTTTAGCCTTGTAGTAACTCCCATGAGATACCAAAGCATCTCTTCTAAGTTAATGAGAAACCAAATAGCAAAAACTCAAATAACTTTTAACTTCTGCGCCATTCCATTAGTTTTCTTTATTCTTCCCCCACGGGAACTGCTAACATTGTGGCATGTTCCAGTCTAAGTCTGTAATTTACTCTTCCAGGCTGAGGTATCCATCTCATTTTTCTTTCATCCTGTTCCACAGAGAGGCTGTCTGGTTGTAGATTTTGGCATTTGCCATGTTACTGTTTTCCCCTCATACAGTTCTGCTTCATGTCTTTTTCCCATCTGCTGTTTAAGACAGAACACTCTGCCCCCAAGTTTTGAGACAGATTTGCAAATGCTCTCCTACACCTGGGACTGGCAGATCCTGGAAGCAGAAGGATAAAACTGACTTTAAATCACTTTTGTCATCTTTTCAGTGTTTCCATTCCACACAAAGTAATGGCAGCTTTGATGCAGAAATGATTCCAACATCCCTTAAAAAGCAAAGAAAGAGCACTGTGCAGGACACATCTATCTGAGCTGGATCATTCCCCTACCAAAGTTGGAACTGGGAAAAAGGACTGCAGCCTTCAGTGCTGGTCAGGGAGATCCTGTCAAAGTGTTTTCTAGAAAAGTGCAAGAGTGGTTAGATAGCCTGACTCCCCTATTTTACCCTTCTGTGGTGAGGATTAGCCCCTAGGTTTCATTTGACCAACCTTAGTTTCTTTTTTTCCTAATCAATCAAACTGCTATAAATACACACTTAAATAAAAAAGTGGCAAATAGATACACTGTACATCCACCTAGGTCTCCTTCTCATTTTTAAGGATAGAAAATATGTTTGCCTTTCTTTGGTCCTCTGAAATAGGCTCTGTCCTGCAAGATTTTTAATTTTTTTTAAATAACTACCAATAGTTCAGAGAATATTTCTGTCAAATACTCTGATTAAATTTACTAGGTTCTATTGGCCTGAATATAATCCACTATTCTGAGGATTCATTAACCTGTTCACTTTTCCTGGCCCACACTTCTGCCACTTCTCTGTTAGTGAGAGTTAGTAGTTGACTACTACTCTTCTGAGCACAGCAAGCCTATGTGCACAGACTGAAGCAAAAAAGGGTTTAAACAGGTACTGCCTCATAGTCTGGCTACACCATTTTTCCACCTGTTTCATATACAGTCCTGCTGGTTTTCCTCTAATGCACAGGAAGAATCTTTCAGTTCTGCCCCAGGATACCTCTGGTATGCATATGCACTCTTAGTGATGGAATTGCCCCTTGCCCTTTTGGTGGGCTTCCTCCTTCACTTTTAGATAAATGGAGAGCTCCTGGCATCTTATTACCAGCATACTTTCACGTGTTTAAAGAGTCGGATTAATCAACAGATACTGGCATCCATACTAGCACTGAGGGTAATCATGTTTGCATGTGATTATAGTAGCATTTTTAATTAAGAACTTTGCAACTGTATTTTAGATACCATGAAAGTCTGTAACTCTGTCTCTCTGGTGACCACATGAAAGTAGTTAATTTTCTCATTTTTGGAAGATAAACCTTTTGAAAGAACATTTTTTTTGTACTGGAGAATTTGCACATTATTATCCTCTTTTATACTTCAGGGCACATCAGTTTTCATAGAGGCATCACTGATTTATACAAACGTTGAGAGCTCATCTAATGTATCTAACAGTTTTAAACTGAATGAGCAAGAATGGATTCAGCAAATACAAAGCTCTGTCTGCATACCCTTGATTTATAGGAAGCTTAATTACTTTTTAAATTACTTTGCAGCATCTCACAAAGAGAAATCTTCATTAAAAAAGGCATTTATCAAAATATACTGTTGTCATTTGTAAACTGAATCTTCCTGCACTTTCAAGATTCATGTTCTGTGGGTTGCTGAGGGGAACAGATGTTAGCTGCGCTCTATAACAAGTCCCAGCTTCTGCAGTGTTATCCTCTTACTTATTTTAGCAGAAACAAATATGTTACCAAGGATACAGTGGCACTCTAATGCACAACAGAGAGATCCTACTTTCTTTGGTTTGGGTTTCCACCCCAATAAGAATGCCAGATTTTGCAGAAGTTTAATTAATACTATCATATACATCTTTTAATCCCAGACCGTATCTGGGACACTGGTATTATTACTGACATTTGAAGTGCTACAGCACATGTAAACACTGAGAAGAAGTAATGTATTCTACTGTGCAACATAAGACTAAATATAACTTCTGCCTATAAAGTTAGCAATCCCTCTGAAAAATTTCTCATAGTGAGCAGGTGGAGAAATTCTCCTAGGTTGTTTTCCTTTGCCATGGAAAACAGGAGGCCAAATTATTCAGATAGGTGGGGGAAAACATCTATATTGCAAAAGAAAGACCTAGTGTAACTAGCTGGTCTCTACAGGAAGAGTCCTTTAGCTTTCAGCAGTGTGTTGGGACCCATAAATCCACTGACTCATTTCCACAACAGTAGCGGATGTTTTCTCCAGCATATCACGAATCATACAGAGAAGGTGTAGAAGAATCAGAGAGCTCTGGAGAGTGCATGTAACATGCCTATGTAGCATGTAAATATGTGCAAGACACAGGTAATCTTGTAACGCCTTTTGCGTGAGGAAAAAAGTCAAACCAGTAATGTCTGCAGCTTGATACCATGTAACTCTGTCTGAATGAGATAGTCTGGATTAATTTTCTCACTGTCTCTAACTCATATACATTGCTTTTACATTTACATTGCTTAATCAGTCAGTGACCAATAAAACACAAAATGGTAAAGATTACCTTCTGTTAATGGACAAGCAAATTACTCCTACACATAGGATTCTGAGGAGATATAAAATCCATCTAGCAGTGGCATTTTAGGGACAAACTAAGTGGCATGGGCGTGAGGTCTAGGGAGCTAAGGGCTTTGAGAACCAAATTTCATGGCTCATTCTAGATGACAAAGGCAGATCCTGCGAAATCTCCGCTGAAACCTTTTTGAGGTTTCCCTGGAGCACTCAAGAAGAAAGTACATGGAAACAAGTGCATGTTTCTTCTAACTCCTTCAGAAATACAAAAAATACAAGACACCCAAAACCAGAAAGGTGAGCTTTCACTCCACTGCTAGGAAGGCAATCCAGACCCTGAAGTTGTATGTGCAGTTGCCTTCAGTACATTAAAAATGAAGAGCTTATCCTCTTCAAAATAGACAGTAAAGGTTTTGATATAATTATCATGAATGATATAATTACCATTCAAAAAGTGAATCCCTTATTTCCATGGGTAAAACTCATAGTGTGAGCATCGATGTCATCTACTGAGAGAATTTAGGATGCAAGCATCCAGACTGATAAAAAAGGACCAGGTCTGTCAGACATACTAACCCACATCTTCAGCTGAGTATCAACTGGAGTATTTAAGCAAAGAAACTCAGCTAATTTTGTCTGAAATAAAGTCTTGCTCATAATCCTCACTTTAGACGAAGCACATCAGAGAGCTTCCACACTAGAAGTTAAAAGGGGCCTGCAACTCCTAACAGGAAAATATTCAAAAGTGCCTGGCTACAAACGCTTCTTACACTGGGGCACTAGCCCCAGAAGAGGATCTTGGTTCATATTTTTATTTGCTATTGCTTCTTTCCTTCCTTCACTAGTTAAGGGAATAAACTCTGCTGTTGTAATGTTTCGTAACACAATGACTAGGCTCACACCATTAAAGGGCAGGATTACCCTCTGTCTTTACTGATTTTAACAACAGTATCATTTCTGCACATAGATGTATTTGGGGTGAAGAGACTGGCCTCTTTGGCAAACAGCTGACTAGACCTTGAATAGCAGCCTTGATCCTCACTGACCTGAAGACGACAAACTGAAGTGAATACAATGTGGGAACGTTGAGTTGTTTTTCTTCCACAGAGCTCTAACTTCCTGTGCCTTGCGAGCAGATGGTTCTGTGAACAACCGTTTGCTGGCCAACTGCACTAAAACTTCTACGAACAGGGTTTTTTTGAATTATTTCTGTATTTACAGAGGTATATATCTTGTCAGTTCCATCTAGCTCTGGCAATTTAACTAGCAAGGAATTCTAAATACTATTACATACACAGACATTTAATACCTACTAACAAAAGCATGCTAATACTTCTGTGATTCTCTCCAAACCAGAACTCTGGGTGCAGGATAAAGAGCACAGAGAAGCCAAATACTACATTGATGCTTCAGCCAACTAAAATGGTAGAACGGGTTGCAAACTAGCTGAAGATGAGTTTGGATCAAAGTGGCAACGGTCTAGTGAGAACTAGGAATGAAAACTAGCACCCATGCAGGATGAACAGAGAACATGCAAAAGAACTGCTGGGTCTCCTGAATCAATTCCAGAAGAAATCTGAATTATAAGCAAAGTCAAGTAAAACAAGCTGTAGAAGACAAAATACAGAAAGTAATTATTTTAGTACCATTAAAAAAAAATAAAATCACCTGTTTTAGGCCATAAGGCATTGACAGCAACTTCTCCTCTAAATTCTTCTGCCATTCCCAAGACACACATGGACATCCCATATTTAGAAATGGTATAAGCTAAGACAAGAAGTATAAAAAAGATAAAAATTTACACTCTATCAACAGAAGTTGAGTTATGAAGGAAAGAAAAACCAAATTATTTGTTCATAAGGAAAATTGAGTTTTGGGGACAAAACAGTATCTTCCTAGAGTCAAAATCTCTCCTTTCTCCCCACCACCTCCAGCAGAACAAACTGCAGTCTGCCATCTCTTCACTACAAATAAAATGAGCTATGCATGTTTTGACAAAAATGATGACTAAAGCCTAGCTGTATGGTGGTTTTGTTGTGCTTTTTATATACAGCACAATGACAAGAGTGCTCAATTTTTTTCAAGATGCCTAACGCATACTAGGTGCTAATGACCAAACTAGTATTCTACAGAAAACAAAAAGGGAAAATAACAACAACAACAAAAAAGAAATTCTAAATCTTGTCATTTGTCTACTTTGAGAACAGAAACTTTCTGGAGGGGAAGAACTGGGACTTGCTGGAGGAGTTTAACATGACAAGTGTCCAAAACTGAAAGGTTTTTTTACGGTTTTAAAATGAACAACATTAACCTCAAGACAACATGGGGTCCCCTTTCCCACCTCAAAATTAATTTCCATTTTAAAAACCAACACTAAACTTTATTAAATCAAATGTGAAGATGAATTGGAAGAAAATAGATTTTGGGTTTCAATTTCTATCTGGAACAGAAAATATTTTGTAATCTTAAGAATTCCTACAAAAAAAGCTCAGACTCTTACCTTAAAAACATTCTTGAAAACATAAAGAATATATTAGGCCATGAAACCTGCACCACGTTTTCCCACAAAACAATTTCTTTTAGGTTAGGTACAAAACACTCTGGGGAACCATTAGTGGCAGGCTGTATATAGCGCTAAAGACACAAGATCTGGCATTCTAGGCTCCTGCACATTTCACCAGGTATTTACGTGGTTCTCAAAAAATAAAAACAAAGGCACTGAATGCTACTCACCACAATGATTTTTGAACCACATGGGATTCAGATTCATAGGTGGGCTGAGGTTCAGGATATGGGGGTTCCTACTCTTCCTCAAATGGGGAAGGCATGTTTTAGACCTGAAAGATAGATTCAGACAAATCAGTCACTTCTTATTTTATGGAACATCTATAATTACAGGAAAAAACATACCAGGAGATCAGTATTTTCATATACATGAAAGTGCAACACTAAGCTGAGACCCTGCCCTTGTATCAATTATTTAACTGATAGAAAAAACAAAGGAAAAAAGTCTTTCCTAGCTCACTTATCTCAGGCCTAGTATTCATTCCTGC